TTGATGAGATATAATCACAAGTTCGTGCGCGAATCGCGTAGCACAGCGCATAGTTTCTATTTAGCGAAATAAGGGCGGAATTCGCACCCGCGAACTTAATTTTCGGCGGAGAAGAGAAACCGGATAAGGGACGCGACGATAGTGCCTTGGAAGCGTCCCGACATGTGCAATATGTTATATGCTGAGCGCCGTGAATGGGGTTCGTCGAGACACTTTGTGCTTCTCGTGCTAAACTCTCGTAAACGTAAACATGGTCTTGCGTAATACGAGCATTAAACTAGCACAAACTCGCGCGCGATGACCGAAGTTTTGATCACGCCAGTCCAGAGGTTCTCATAGTTTTCTACCGTCCATGCGAGTTCCGTTTCCGCTCTTATATTTTACCCGAGCCTCCCGAAAGAGCCCTGAGTGTCACATCTCGGTAGCGATATTTGCATTGCTCTTCGAAATCAGGACGAAATTTCCCGCGTTAAACTCACTCAATTGTCTCGAGATAAGATAATGTATTATTTGTCATTGAATTCGAAAGCACTGTCACAAACATTGTGAAATTTTGCAAAACTACATGATATAAAAATCGTGCAAATTAAGATTCTTAATCAAATTTTTTGCTAAAAAGGTCGAGCTCGAATCAATCAATAATCTGATAATTTATCGGAGAAGCAATAAAATGTTATTTTTGGGTCACCAGGTATCTCGGGTGTTCTGTAGTCATTATTGCAGCGTTTGATTAATGTCTAGCAAAGAAAAGCACAAACTTGTTCCAAGACTGATCTATATGTCCAACTTCCTCTACTTCTCGCTCTTGAATTTCTTTAGATGTTATACGTACGATTAATTACGGAGAGCAGAGGGTTAAATGGAGCACTATAATTTATCTCGCTATTCTTCAGGCTGTTACAATTTGCTCTTTTCGCGAAGAAGCCGTTGTTTTCTGACGCTCGCGCACACGAAGTCGTAATAAATCACCTGTATCTACGTGCAACGCTGATTAGAAAACAATATATAATAGTTATATAATAGTTATATAACAGTTATATAATATAATAGTTATATAATTGCTCATATATAATTTTTAATTTTTTAATTATGCAATCCCGTAAAATAAGTAATTTTTTGAAGCGACGGAAATTATGAGAAGAGATCAAATAAATTTATAAATTTCGACTACACAATTTTATAAAAAAGTGAAATAAAACAAAATCGAGTAACATGAAAAAGGCTTATGACGCGTTTAAGAGCTACTAATTTAGTAAATATTTGTCTGAAGAAGATGTAATATAAAATTTGCATACAGGAAGAGTATAACAGGAAGTATGAAAAGAATGTAGAAATATGAGGATATGAAAAATGTTCCTGGCACTTGACATTGTTTGCGTTTCAGTCTATAATTAATCCTTAGCCGGGGAAAAAGTCGGCTGCAGACACGAAGGACGGAGAACTCGCGCAGTTTCTATCTAGTTTGTATAAACGGGAGAGTTCCGCCGAGTGAAAGATTTTAATTTCGTGAATAATTCCGCCGGATGAGACATCGCCGGTAATTAAGCGGAGGAGAGGCCGGCGGAAAAACGGAAGGCAAGAATATTTCTCAGTCGAATCAAGCCTCTCTGACAGAGGCTTCGAGAGCGTGTTGTTACGGGGCGGAATATATGGACGAGCATTATACCGCCGGCGGTCCCGTCGACGTACCCGGGAGTACGTACGTATGTACGTCACTTTACCGTAATTACGGGGCTAGCTTAATGCGCTCCGCGAATGATACCTATTTGCGAGCGTCGACGGTGCATTAAATGTTGGATACCCTTCGACGTGCGCACGTATATTGACCCCCGCTACTAATGCGGCTAAAGAGAGCCCGGAACGCGCCGTCAGTCTGTATCGATATTTCAAAATTGTCACGCGAGACTCGGAATTGGAAAACGTAGAAATGCGATTATAAACGGGATTTTCCGGCATTTAATTACAATCAGTTACAGTGGAAAGTGCTCAGTCTCGTTTCATCAACGCTTTACAAAAATACAGATGGCTGTATTTATAAATTAGCGTAGCTTATAAATTTTCCATGCTGTAAATAAAATGTAATCTGTTTATCTTTTTTTTACGGATGATATATTAAAGTTATTTGCAAAAATATTGCTGATATAATTATGTGTGTTATTTTATTAGAAATATTTTTATACTCTATACCCGATATTTTTCTCTATAAATTAGTTTCATATATCTTGCTTTTCAAACTTCTCAACTCGAAATTTCATACAAGAAATATTTTTTGTAATGGAATAAATTTTTCGTGGAATAAATTTTTAAACCGAGAGAGAATTACTATTATATATATAATTATAGATTAATGTAGTTTAAATATATTTGGGGATATGAATAATGTTCATTACGCACCTTCATTTGCCTGAAAACTATTTGACAAGTTTACTAAATCATGTATGTTATCACTCGTGAAGTTTATCGTCTGCTTAAAAATTTTTCTTCGCAAGATATATTGTTTGATCAAACAGATAAAAAAAGCAGTGACAATAATATTGTTTGCTAATTTTATTTATAAATATATTTTTATATAAATATATTTAATTGCAGGCGACACATGATTGCACAATTTTATTCAAACAAACTGTATGTAAAAAATATAAATCGTATGAAAGAATTTAATAGATTGTTCTCCATTAATTCACACAAATTTAAACAGGAAATATTCCACATGTACAGACGCATGTATGTCTCCCATAATATTTTTCCACGATGAAAATAATATGCTGTGAATTTTTTTTTTTAAATCAATCAATTTCATGTAGTTCGCATTTCTTATTTTCAGTCTTGCTTCAATCTGCACGAATCTCAACATGACATCTAAGTGTCTCATCATACACGTCAACTTTCATAAAATGATACAGCCGCCCGTTAAATTCCTCATTTTATGCGCCAGGAAACCCGCCGTAAATCGCGGCTTATCGAGTTTGGCTTCGACGTAGAAATGCATTTATTCAGACCGGCGTGACTGTTCGCCAGCGGGATGAGCGAAACCATGTAGAAACTTTCCTTCTGCTCGACGGTTGATGATATTTCCGCAGCCGAGAGCGGCTCGGCATTATTCGTTCTGTCCTAGTGGACAGGACGCGGAAACTTTGACCGTGCAAGAGCAGCGCAATTTTTAGAGACGTACGCGCGCATTTACATATCGCACAGAAAATTAATCCGATTATTCACGTTCATGGCGAACATATTTAATTGTTTCAGTCATAACGTATGTTGGACGCGAATTATTTATTCGAATAAACGAGACTTCTCGGCGATGTTTCAATTACGGGCAGTATTTTTATCTACAAAAAAAATTGCATAATCTATCTATTATTTGTACTAACTACACATTATTGTTCGCTATCGATTAAGTAAAATTCGAAGTAAAATTTGCGAGATGATGATTTTTGCTCTATATTAAATACTTATGCACAGATCATTTTTAAATTATTGATATTGAACAAAAAATGCTTAAAAATATACTGAATAAATTATGAGACTGAGAGTAACTGGCTAAATAAAGTTATCGCGAAAATAGTAAAATATTTAAATAGCCTTCCCTCTGTTTATGAAGCTATAAACGTATTATCATATCGCGCAGTTTCTATAAACTCGGAAACGGGAAAATGTAAAATGACAAGAATTTACTATGAATTTTTATCGCTAAAGGTGAATAAAATTAGAATATATAAATATTAAATTATTAGTTTACAAAGAAATAATATATTTATTATTATTATGTATAATAATATATTTATTATTATTATGTATAATAGCTGAAATCTTAGATAAATAATAAAAAAAAAAAATTGAAATAGAAAAAGTTACAATAGATTATTATAATAGAAAAAGTCATAATAGATTATTATCTTAGTTTTAAAAAAATATAATGTCTCGAAAAGACATAAGAAATAAATTTTTCGAGAAATTTTGTTTATTTATCCAACAATTTCACGTTAATTTAATAAAATAATAAAATTCATCGAGTTATCTAGTATCATCTGTAAGGTTTCTAAATGTCACAAACAACATTTGGATGTGCAAACTGGTAGAATAGAGAAGTGCTACTTTTGAGAGTGTATTGCGTTAACAAATAGTAGAAATGTTCCCTTCGCCGAGAACCCTCATTGTTTGCACAAGCGAGGGTGCGTACGCGAAATGGAAAGGTCCGGAAAAGTGATCGCGGGAAGATGCTTGGTTTCTCACGTGGATTTCATTGTTTTCCTTCACATCATATATCTGCGGCAATGTCCCTCCCTTGAAAACTCAGCGAGCGTGAAATCATCGTACATCAAAGTGTATGCTTGCTTCTTTCGACTCGGCTGAGGTAGATTATTACTTATTCAATATTACTTGGAAATAGATATAACTATGCTTTTAAAGTGAAAGAACACCATTTATTTTTGGCAAAAAGCTTGGTTCCGGAAGAAAATCATCAGATTATTATCGCAAAACGTACGAGTGTACTTTCCACAGTTATTTATTTAATAACTAAATTATTTATTAAATATATTAAATATATTAAATTTATTTGATAAATATCTTTCATCCACTGATATATCGGGTTTAGAATAATATGTAAATGAATGTAAATGAACACTTGAATTTATAAAACATTACATGCAGAAGGGAGGAGAACTTCATTAAATCGATGGAATTGAAATGTATTTCTTTTTACATTTAATTTTCAGACCAATAAGAAACCAAGTTTTCAACATCGAGGCAAATTTTTAACATCAAAGAATCAGGAATTAATAAAAAATTAACTTTAATATAATTTAAATGTATGTAAGTGAAAGGATGTTATTTTAAATTCGCCAGATTGATTTTAGCTTGACAAAAAGGGATGCAAAAATTGGACGCGAAATTAATTATTTCTTCTGTATAATATCTGGGAGAAAACATCTTTCTCTCTTTTTTAACCTAATTTCGAGGAAGCATAACGAATAGCAATGCAGAGACATTTATATTACCTTTTGGCAGAAATCCAGCGTGTATTAGCCGCGCTTCCATGAGCAGGGAGGGCAGGAGAAAGCACATGGCCGTGCAGAGATGCACGAAGGCCGCCGTAGGGCCGCCGTGTCTCCATAAATTATTCGCCAGACCTGAAAAATCGTGGTTATCGCTTTGCTGGAACTTTTTCCGAGGTCATACATTGTAATTATCATCAATCGATCATATTTAAAATGTAAAACGGACGTTAATTTCATGCACTATCCCTATTTAGTTTACTTTATGTGCTGTTATGCAAGTGTAAATTTGTTTAACTCCATTACTTGTATCGTTAATATATTTTACATATAATCAGAGGAAAAATTAAAAGCTCTCCGACAGATAAAGATCCGTACTCAGAATATTGTGGGTCTTGAATAAGTTATATTTAATTTATTCATCTCCTTCAAACTTGGCAGTATGAATCTAAAGTGATATATCAGATTTTCGCATCTCATTCTGATTTTCTCTACTGCATTCGATTATTTCAAAATATATATATATAATATTTATAAGTTTTTTTTTACTAAATGCTAATTTAGATATAAAAGTATGTTTTTCTTAAGGTTCAATATTGGTTAAGGTTCAATATATAATTAAAAAACTTCAAATTTCATCAACATAGAAAATTTCAAGTAATAAAGTTAATAAAGAGAGATATCGTTAATGATTATTTTACTTCTTAGATTCGTAGATTAATATCGACTGTTACGAGTTATATAACACATGTTCTATACTTATAAAATTATTCCACTTACTGTTATATACTTATAAAATTATTCCACTTACTATTATCGGGACTGTTACTGAGAAGTGATGATGGCGGATCGCGTGAACAAGCGCTCAAATGTCGGCCAAGTTTTATTCCGTCGTTCGCGAGATTGCCGAGCTTCAAAAATGCAGCGCCCAACAACACCGGAAGTAAAACGATTCCAACACCGGCTAATACCAGGCAGGCGTACAATTCGATTTTAGGAGGTGGTGCATCCGCTTGCCATGGTAATGATAGATAAGCTGAAAGAATGATATAAAATTGCACAAAATAAATAAATATAATACAGAAGATACAAATGATATCTCTCACTTTGCAATCTTAGCTTTTTTCTATATTAATTATAAACATGATATTAAATATTATAGATTAATTTTGTGAGAAAATATAAAAATTTGATTAGCGTCTATCTCTCTATCAAATCTAGCTAAATTAATATATTTTTTTTTTTGGAAAAAATTTCATTCAGAGAAAGAATTTTATTATATATTTTATATTTTTTAAATAATTTTATTAATTTTATTAAATTTCATTAATTTCTTTACAATCTTTTAAATATGCAAACTATTTATAATAGCAATAAGCTTACAATGGATTATTTCTCTCTCCGATTTTCTATTTATCTCATGAAAAGGAATAGAATTAAAAGATCAGTTCTCAATGTGCAGAGAGATAGAAAGCACGAAAAATTTTGCTGGCAATCCCATCGCTATCGTGTGTCTTTTATGTAATGACCTCCAGTAACGAAAGCTTCGTACCGGTTGGCAAGGAAAGAAATTTACGCAAAGCCGCCGCTGGAAACGACCAGAAAATAAGAAATGCGACGAACCATTCGGAATCTCGCCTAGAAATTTTACCGATTAAAGTAACGTGAAACGAGCGAGAAGAAAAAGTTCTTCTGATGATGTAATTTCATAATTGCATGTTACATATTATTTCCTTTATTTTATAAGACTAATTAAAGTTGTAGGATTAAAATATATATGATAAAATGTTAAAACAATTCTGATATGAATATAATATAAAGATAATATAAAATATAATATAATATAATATAAAATTACTCGCGATATAATATAAAATAAAATATGCAAATATAAAGATAATATATTATATTTTATATATATTGAAATTAAAAAGCAAGATCAAAATTATCACTAGAGAAAATTTTATAAGATATATTCTTACGCAAAAATGATCATTTGTTTGAGTTGATTTAGTTGTGTAAAAGCAAGTAGATATTTTATTCGAAAGTGAAATCGTTCGGAAACCAATACAGACAGGTTTCCGAATAATCGATATTGTAATCGATTCCGAAGAGAGATGCATTTTAACGAGAAGGAAGCAGCTGTTAGCTATCTTACCGAGGAATCGTTTGGCGTATCTCATTGCTATGTAGGCTTGAAAAGCGACAGCCAGGATGCCGTACCAAACGGACCAGAGGCTGTTCACATGACCGCGTACGCACGATTCTTTTCTCGTTGATTTTCGTGCTTTCCTCGACTTGGTAGTGCTCGTAGTAACGCCACTCGAGCTTATGCTCGACACAACTGGCAGCGGCTTCAACGGTTTCTTACACTTGGCCTGGTTCACATCGTTATTGTTCTCGTATCCCATCAAGCTCCCAGTCATCGACATTTTGTCCTGAAACATAATTAGCCACGCCCCTTCATATAATTATACATCATAAATATTTTTTTATAAATATCGAGTCGAATTTTTTGCGATAAAACATTTATGAAACTTTCCATCATCTTTTCGCAATCTATTGATGTTAAATATATTGGTGACCAAACACATAAATAAAAATTGTTATTAAAAAAAATGTTTATATTATTGAATAAAGAATAAAAAAATATTTCCTCTTTTTGCATTCTTGAAACTCGACAGCCTCCACAATCTAAATTATCTGTGTAAAAGATTAAAAATCTAGATTTCAAACAGGGGATTACGATATCTTGAAACATGTCGAATATTCTTCCCCTTTGCTATTACCATAAAGTTAATTTTATCAAATTGCAGTTGAATGTTTGAGACCATTATCATGATCTATCAGTTTGAATTGATTTTTCGCGCCCATTTCAATCGTCGCACCCTTTATTCAATAATTATCTGAACCGTACATCTTATCCCACGAACGACTCGAGTCATTTCCACTTTCAACCCAGTTATACGAGAATTTCAATGCGTTCCAACGGTTTATCTCTCGTGCGCCATTGAGCCTCCTGAGAGGCCCTTTTCTCCCGTTGTATCTTTCCCTGCTACCTTTCCTGAGGAGAGAGAACGGCTTTCCTCATACACTCTTCTTTCCCTTGGCATTTCACAGTCACGTTGCACGGAAGTGTGGAAACTCGTGGATATGGTTATGCTAAAATATTAGGTTTGCACGAAGGTTTGTATCCCCCTTCTTTTTAAATATTAAAAAGGATGTGACGCGTATGAAAGAGAATTCGAAATAATTCCTCTCGTATTTCGTACACTTTCCATAGTGTTATCTAGAGAGCTTCGAGGATTTGATATGTATCATAATTTTCACGCCTTCTCTTGCTGAAAATTTCCTGTTCCTAAAAACACGTGTCTTAATATTCTTGCAGCAGAACGATCTTAAATAAATATCTTCAAATTCCTTCAATTCATAAGTGAAACAAAAATAAGCTAATCTATCGCTTCGTTTTTCTTTTAGAGAAAACCTAACGAGTTATTACCACGAATTATAATATTAAAGCGTGTTTAATTAGATAATTAAAAAGTCACGTTCTGTTTTTATTACTAAAATATCGATTTTAATTAAATGAACCATGACATATTTATGAAATGAGTGCAGTTTGTTTCGCGAGAGGTCGGAGTAATTAAAATATAAAGCAGTTCCTACAGTTCCTACAGCTTAAGACTTGTTGGAGAGAAAGAGAGAGAAAAAGAGAGAGAAGAGGGCACGGCTATCCTGTTTTTCTGTTCGGTTACGAGCCAGGTTTCAGTCCCTCGACTTCCCTGAGCTTAGGGGTTGTAAAGTGCAAAGTTTTATGATCGCTTTCGTTGGATTCGTTCCGCGATAAAATTTCAAGGAGGGACGACGACGACGACGGTGCGTGCGAACGAAGAGGCACGTGCGTGACCGTATCAGGGACCTCAGGCGTGTACTCGCCTTCCTGTTTCACGATCTGAGAATTTATAGTCCCATCGCGTACGGAACCACCCCGCGAAATCTTCGCTCTGCGCGCAATGCAAACCATTCTTTCCTACGTTTGCGAGCATATTCGATATCTGCACTATCATGGGAGTGTTAGAATAGAGATTATTAGAGTGGATTACAATTTAATTCCTTTTGTTAGAATAGAGATTATTAGAGTGGATTACAATTTAATTCCTTTTGAAAGCGTTATTACATTCATAGTGCATTGTCTGTCCATGTATCGATATTTTCGAAACAAATTGTACACAGAGAAAAATATTATTCTACCAAGAAAAGCGATTACTCAATTTATTTTTCTTTTTTTTAAATAATAGTTTTCTTCAATAAAGAATATATTCTTGATAATAGTCTTAAAATATACTCATCACAAGTGTTAGAAAATCTCATTATCATGTACTCAAAAGAAGAAATTATTTTCTCTTCAAGAATATTGTAAAGTTGTATCAAAGAAAAATCAAACTTACTTTACGCTAACTCATGTAGTAAGCAAACCAAATTTTTGTTTTAATTTAATATTCTTGACTAAAATACTGCACTTCCTAAAATTCAAAATATATTCAATTAAATTTAATGCTTGTGGTGAATTTATAATATATATGCGGATATACAAATTTATGATATACTTAAAATAAATAATATTTACTTGAATACAGTATACATTTTTCTCTGTGTAGGAATAATGCACTGAGAAAAAAATCTGATTGCATTAATTAGAAATTTGGTAGATTCAATTAGTCTGTTAAAAAACGGACGAAGAATTTCTTTAGGAATTACCAGATGAGTATGATTAATTTCATCTTGTTAAATTTCATCTTGTTAAATTTACCAAACTTTCTAATAATAATACTAAATTTATAAAAAAATGGCATCACTGTGTCCATGTTTAGCTAATATAACGAGAAGTTTTATAGATCCAACTAGAAAATTCTTGTAGTAAATTCTATTAAACGTTCTAGTTATAAAAAATCGAGTCTTATCGTGATATCTAAAAATTCTGGTTGGTTTAATCAAAACACCTTCTATCAGATACGTCTTGTTGATACAATCAAACGATTTTTCTCAGTGTGATAATATAGACATAAGATATGAACATTGCTATCTATCTACATTTTCGTGCTTTTCACCTGTTTGTCAAGTCGTTCTCTTACGCGGAAAATGGAAATATTAATTAGCATCCAGACGAATCCACATTACGCGCTAGCATCAAAGGAAGTATCTGAAGAGCGGTGCTTTATAAAAGGCCTTTTATAGATAAGAATTCACAAGAGTGCGTTTGAATAAGACGATCGATAAGATTTTTTTAAAAATAGCACCATGCAATAATAACGTTTAGTTAAACTCCATTCTAGAAATAAATTTTATTATAGTCGGTATTTATTTATATATTATACATTATTACATAATTGGCTGTTTTTTTTTAAATTTTAAAACTTTTATAAAGAAATTATTAATAAGGCGAAGACATTTTATAGATACATTTGTCTCGATGTAATATTTTATTTCTGAAAAACCGTACGCTGTATTTTCAAATGTATATTTTATACATAATCTCGTAGAAAAAGTTATTAGAAAGAAAGTGTTTTCTATTGTAATTATATATGAAACATACAATCGAATTAATGGGAAAATTTCAAGAACGTTACCCATTTTAAATATTCAGTAAAATATTAATTCTTCGACTTGTGCGATGTTATCAGAGTGATAGAAGCCGCTTAAAATTAGCTTCTACGCTTGAAAGATTACGTTTAAAGTCGCTACCAGATTTCGAAAATCTTTTACTAAGTCCACAAGAATCGTCGTGGAAGCGTAAAATCCTTACGCACTCAGTTAAAACTTTCGTTCTAAAACTTGGTTGGGCGGATGATAAAAAAAATTTGCGATTACATGTAGTCCAATTTAAAAGTTCAACATTATATAAATTTAAATACCGACAAACTGTCTAAAATGCAAATAGTATAATTTGATATCTTTTTATTTGATTTTAAAATAATAACAATTATTTTAATAATAACTTTAATATTCTCTGCATTGTCCATTGTGTATTTTAATTATAGGATATGTATATAAAAGAAAAATATCGTTTTTATTATACATACTTTTTTTAAAAAGAATATTTTTTCAGATTTATTATAAAAAAAGATTATTTTATATATAATTTTATATACATTTTTATCGATATATTATTTGTTATAAAATTATTTCGGTTTATTTTTTTAATATTCGTGTTTTTTAAAATATTATAATACTTTAATATATTATAATACTTTTTTTTCGAATCTAATTAGAGGCTGCCGATATCTACTATTCAATTTTGTAGTAAAACTTACTGTTAGAAACTTTTTTATCGGAAGACTTAACCAATCAATCGATAGTAGAGGTAATTTACACTTTATTCAAACATAAAACTTATATATAAGTTTTACCAAAACTTACCAGATTTCTGTCGAGTCTTCTAAAGTCTCGAATAGGCTTCTCCGCTATAATTGATTCGAAGATCTAGCATCTTTGGCGATGGCAGCACCTAAAACACACAAATAACAATTAATAAAAAATTTTATTATAACAATATAATAAGCTATAACAAAATTACGGTACAACAATGGGAATTATAAGAGAAATATTATAAAAAAATATTATATCGTATCAAAACTTTTAAGGTCTGATAAAACACGAGAGCTGAAACTTGCAAGAGAATATTTGTTCGAGGTCAATACTCTCTTAAATGCGCACAATTTTTCGCTTGCATATTCTCATTCTGTATTTATACTGTATTCACTTTGAATTCTCTCTATCATTGTTTGCATTATAAGTATATGAACAAGAGAGGGGGGTGGGGGGTGGGGGAAATAGCAGCTTCATTAATCAGATTGTCTTCGTGATGTTGTTTGCATGGGATTAGGTTGTTGTTTGCTGGCTCGTGTTTATCCTGGAACAAGAATGCTACATTGGAGAGAGAACCAACGTGATTCGCGAGAATCCTTTGTTGATCAATAAAATTTGGTGCTTACATAAGCCAGATAATGAGCTTGCATACGCTTGGATAAGCCGCGTTAATTACGTCCGCATTTATCCGCTAAGCGTACGGTTTACGTAACTCACGCTTCGCATTCTCTTTTACAGTGTCAAGCAACTTGCTTTGTACACATGTTACACCGCGCATTATCACGACACCCGCGTATCTTAAAGTCTGTCGCGTGATGTGAATTTTAATGTATCGGCTTTTATCTGATATAAAATAGGTGCAAAAGCATTTTAATTCTTTCACAGGATACCATTGTGAACATGAGGTAGGAGATTAATTTTCCTTGCTCACACTCTTTTATTAAAAGGCCAGACAGAGATGACAGTTGTAAGCTACCCTCAAATTTTATCTAATTTCCAAGTTTCAAATAATTTTTTAAAGTCAGTTTTTAAAGTCAAATAATTTTTTAAAGTTTTCCCATAAAAGAGAAAATTATAGCGAGCGATTGAAAAATATTATTCGTTAATAGAAGTAATTTATTAGAGAGTCGGGACTTTTTTAAATTACTTAGGGCTTAATGAATATTTTGCGATTTTATCCTTACAATCAAGATTGAAACACACAAGTCTATCTATCATTTCTTTGTTTCTTTTTAATCGTGATACAGTCGATTTCACAAAGAAAAAGATAACATAGGTGCCATTAGTCTGATTACGGTTTCCTATTACAAGGCTTGAACGCCACCTGAGCTCTTCTAGGATGGTGTTTGGCCACCATTGTGTTTTCTGATAGCTCGAGTTGAGAAAGGTAAGCTTGTATAGCTCGTATAAGAAGGCAAAACCGCGAGTTCATTAATTTTATTCCTCGAGGCAAACCTCGAACCACACAAAGCGTGGCCGTGAATTAACGTGCACAATACGAATAAATATATCAAGAAGATAAACGAGCTTCAAAGGTATATTATGCAATAACAATTCCGTTGAAATAAAGGGAGAATAATTTTTAATTCCGCTTTCAAAGAAAGCATTTTATTCTGCGTTAATTAATTAAATCAAGATCAGAGTCAAATCAATTTAGGCGAATTAAATTAAATTAATTTCACAAAATAATGCAACGGAAGTTAGCTCTTATTCATTGTCATATGAATGTAATAAAATTTAGTAAAAGCTTTATTATGTTGTAATTCATGAAATTACAGTGAAAAGAGAAAATTTATCTCGTTATCTATTTATTTATATTATAATTATTGTCGTTATCATTATTACATAATTACGCTATCGAAGAAATTATCATAAATTATATCTCCTAAACAATATAATAAACACACACACACAGACACACACACATATATATAATATTCGTATCCTGTTTCTGTAATTCTCTGTACTTCCATTATCCGCATCAATTGATTTTTTCGACTTCCATTAGTGCTCATTATGTTCACTTTCTCCCTTTCTCTTTCCTTCTTTCACAGTTTAAATTATAAAATACGTTTCAGAATAAAGATATGAAACTTTAATGTTAATTTTTATTTGATCAATTAAAGATTTTTCCTTAAATAAGAATGCTTGAAATTATTAATCGCTGAATTTTCATTTGCAATATTTATTAATCACAGTCGAGAGCATAATCGTAGCAGGCTTGCGCATTTTAATACGTTTAATTACAATTTTCCGAGAGTGCAAAATCTGGAAAGAAAACAAGGAGTAAAAATATCACCCAATAAACGAAAGCAAAAGTAACGATAATCGATACCTCGACGTGATCGTTATTAATCGTACGGGAAATTATCGCGATATTCTTTAGGTCAATCCCAGCCTCTGCAAAATTCCTGCCGAGTCTGAGCGTCGGTAATTACATCACTCGCAATAAATCAGAGCTGCGCACCGCCTGGCATTAATTATCCATCAACTGAAACGATTCTGCACGCAGAATGGCAAAAACTTCCGTCCACGGTGAGAAAAATGTCTCCTTCAATAAAATGCTCGCACGAGACTGATTTATCACCCGTTACTGGCGTCATGACACATGTTACAGATATGTATCATGTTCAGAGAAATCGAGATACGAAAGAGTTCAAATAGAAGGTATTATCGAGGAAATTACAATGTCATAAATTTCGAGAGGAGCTTTGCGCGTCAATTTTTATGTAAATCACACACTTTACACTCGTCGAAGACGTTTAATGAGAGGAAATATGTTATTTGATCTTCATATATTTTATATATATATATATTCTTCACTCGCCTCCTCTTTGCTATCTTGACGCTAATGTAAATATTAAATTAACAAGTTCACAACTATCAGAATGTAAATATAAGTTAAATTACATTCGTGTTAAGATTCACAATGTTGACTATTCATTATTAGATATTGGCGCTGGATTTAATCATTCGTGACGCAACGAATGAAAGGCAGTCTTTTGTAATGCCAATCAAATTATAGATTTTATCGTTTTCAATCGATGATCGTTTGCAATTATTACGTAAAGCAATTATTCGGAAATACTCGTTGTAGGAAATATTCAATCCTCTACATTACAAATAATATTACTAACTGAATCTGCTAAAATATTTATTGCACACAGAAAAAAATAAGTGTCAAATCAAAACTTATATACTTATAACTAACGCGTTCATTGTTTCGTATATACGCAACAATTTATAATCTTCTTAGAAGAATTTAATAATTTTAAATTTCAACAATATTATAGTTTTATTTTAATATTGTAATTGTCATCTCAAGAATATATAATTATTTAATTTTATTTTAAGAAAATTATAATTAAAATTATAATCTCTGATTTAAAATTAAATGTTATTTTCTATCTAACATTGTTTCTTTTCCATTTAAGAAAATTATATCTTAAATCATAATATATTTGTCTTGATTGAATTATATAAAATGGCTTCATTCAAATAAACAATTATTCAAGCAATTATATTTTTCTTTTAGTAACGCAATATAATCTCATTTCAAGATTTCCATGTCAAAACTAAATATATTTTCAAAACAAGAAGGTCCTTTTTTTGCAATCATTTTTTATGACAAAATTTTCTCTACTATGATATTGAATCGAAAAATTCAATGAATAAGAAGAGAGTTTATCTTATAGAATGAGATACAAAAAAAGTTGGAGAACTTGAAAACACAGAAAAATTTAACTTGCACGCGCAATAATTTGCTGCAAACGGGATTCCTGATTGAGATAAAATAATCTCGCGGAGATGATTTATCCTGCACGACGATCCTTGAGTTAGTGCGCGCGAAATCATCCGTGCGCAAAGATTATTCGCGTCTGCGTGCGCTTTTCTGCATATAAAGGCCGGCGCCTCTCGTTATCGTTCGCGCGAGAAAATGAAAATTGTGATTAATATGCGGCCGCGCTTAACATGGTGCCGTTTGTATCCCGGATGAGTTATTGTACGGCAAGATATCCGGGAAACCCTATTATCTCCCGCTGGAAGGAGCGAAAATTCGAAGACGCAAGGTCGAGATGGATTTCGGGACTTCGCCATTTTGCCGAGTTTGCGGCTTTCTCTTCCGCGGGAAAGCGCACCAACGTTTTCCTCTCTCCCATTCCCCATTCAGTTCATCTTCCGAAAGTCGTTCTCTTATTTCGGTTTCTCCGAGCTATCGTTTGTCAGGTCAAAGAAAATTCTTTTATTATCTGAGATAACGCGCGATCCCTTATGATTAAGGGACGGAAAAAAATAAATGTAAGAGAATCTGGAGTTAAAAATTATAATAAAATATATTATTATTATTTATTTTAATATAATTGAAATAATAAAATTGGCTCAGATAAGAATAATAATTAGAAAATAAAAAACTGGCAAGTAGGAGCCAAGACACGGCAATGATTAAAAGAAAAAAAAGATTTTTCTTCTTGCGCTTCAATTACTACATTTTGCTCTTTAATATTTTAATATGCATTTCAATATTTGTAAAAATGATATTTAAATAAAGAATTTTCCTAAATTATATCATAATATACAGAATAATAAATAAATGTTTCCAGGACATATATTTGTCTTTCTGTTTCTCTTTCTCTCAAAGTTATGTCATAAAGTCAAGTTGTATAATTATTATCGCGTATCATAACGTCGCTGGGCTTATACTTGAGATGATATATTTCCCGTGGGGAAGGATAACCCGCAGTCCATTATCTCGACGGAAAGCGTGAAAATTCGAAAGCGGAAATTGGGATGAGTTTCGGACTTTCGCCGAGCTTGCGGTTCCGCACACGCGATCGTTTTCTCCTTCCTTCTCACGCTCGCGTTTCTTCTCTTCCTTCCCCCCTGTTTTTCACGATGTCTGTCTTTCCCATGCGGGCGCGCCGAATTCAACACTGCCACAATTTAAGGAAAGAAGCGCACGGTAGGAGAGAGAAAGACTGATTTCGAGAGATTTGGCAAAGTTGGCGGAGAGAGAAGCTTAAAGCTCCGCAAGCGGGAAACGCTGATTCGGAATTCTCTCTCTTTCGGTGGGGACACGAGCGCGAGCGGGGACAGGGGCGATGTGGTTAGAAGTTTTCGAGATTGTTTGCCGTGCTAGCC